ATCTTAGTACGAATTTACCAATTTAGCAAAATAGAAGAGATTTACTTGATTTTTATTAGGGGATGACTTTCATGTTATAATTTGCATATTGATTACTTCATAACATTAGTATTGAAGTCTTGAATGCCCAAATTGCTAACCAAGTGGACATTTACAAAGATGGATATAAGATATTGGCTAAGCCCATTGGTATTAGTATTTTTTTTTCATTTTAATTTCTTTTTGCAACATAATAGTTTGTTTTTATCATATAAAGTGATGGTTATTGTCTATTCACATTAGCCTTGAATGATCTATTTGCTAAATTCTCTTTACATTCCATTTGGCAACAACATACTATACTTGCCAACTTAATAAAACTTTACAAAGTTGGAACTATGGGACTAATTAGAAGTGCGGGGACATGTGACAGTCATAACAAATGTTTATTTTTTGTTTAATAATAAATCAAAAATATATTATACATACTTGTGTTAGTTACACTTTGATTGTTCTCCCATAATGATTGTATATGAATTCAATATTATACTGGTAAAAATTTACTAATATGAATTCAAAATGTTGGCTAAATTCGTTGGAAAGGATATGACCTTCGTCACTTGGATAGTACGCTTCATGGCAATTAATTCAAGGACAATGACATAAAATATTAATTATTGTGTTATCACTTCTCTTTAATGGCCATTTGGCAATATGAGGCCATATCAACCAACTTGGTAAAAATTTACCAAGATGGAATTAACATGTTAATTTTAAATCTAAAAACAAGCAAAAACCATTATAGATATGTAATATTGTTTGACAATAGAATAAAAATATTCTAGGTATGATGGTGTTATATTTTGATTATCCTCCTATAATGGCATTATGTACCTTAATTGCTAGCTTGGTAAAATTTTATGAAGATGGGTCTGGGGTGTTGGCTAAGTTCATTGGGGAGAACATGGCCATCCTCATTTTGATAATATGTTTCATTGCAATCAACTCAAGGACAGTGACATAATAGCATTGGTTATTGTATGCACCATCTCCTTAATGGCCATTTGGAAAATATGAGTTTATGTGTCAACTTGGTAAAATTTTACGAAAATGGGATTAAGGATAGTGATATAATAGTATTGGTTATTGTATATACACCATCTCCTTAGAGGTGTAAAACGGTCGTGGGTGGGCCATGTCGCCCTCCCCTGGGATAATTTGGGGGGTCGGCCCGACATGTCCCACGGCCCAAGCCCGTGCTGTGCCACGGGTCGGGCTGGCCCATGGGCTAAGCCTTAGGCCAGGCCAGGCCAGGCCAGGCCAAAGCTATTTATTTAAAAAATTGAATGAAAACCTTAAATTTTTAATTTTATATGAATTTTGATGTATACAATTGCTTATATATCATAGTTAAGATAGAAATTGAAAATTAACAAAAGCAGCAATATGATTAAAAATAAACTTAAATATTTATTATTCAATTATGACATCATGGGTTTCTTTGAAAAATTGGATCACAGACCCACCATCTAGATAAGAAAAATAGTTTTGCTTTTGGATTAGTTTTAAATTAGAGAAAATTATAGTCAGATATCCCTTACAACTGACATAGTCTGACAACTGACGCTACATTTCAAATTATAAAAACCCTCGCCATATCATTGAAGGCTTATGTGGTTGTTGCCAACATAGGACTCTTAATCCATGTTGGACACAACAAAAAACTTATACTGAAATTGCCCTTTAATGTTGGGTGATTGGAAAATAATAAAAAAAAGGCTTTTAGTCTCTCTCTCTCAATATCCCTTACACTCTCTCACTCGCAATCATCTTTATCTATTCAACGACTATGTGATTTGAAAATAAATAAAAATGTTTTTTTTGTTTTTTGTTTTTGTATTTACGTCCTCTATATCAATTTCTCCCATTTTTCTCTACCTATCTATCGTTCCCCCTCAATCTCTCTCATTCTCCCTTAGTTTCTCTCCTATTCCCTCTCTCGTTTTTTATTTTTTTACACACTTATATAGTATTAATCAGATCGTATAAAATAACATGAGATCAAATTAATATGGTTAAAAGATTATTACACCAACTTGATAAAAGTTCACAAAAAGCTCTTGGCTATAAAATTTATACCAATTGGAGAACGATAGAGATTGAGGAAGAAGGAGATATTGACAGAGAGGGGAGTGAGGGAGAAGAATGATAAAGATTGAAGGAGAACAATATAGAAAGAGAGGGAGGTTTTGATTTGGCTATAGATCGAAGCTAAGAGTGGGAGAGACWGAGGGAGCGAGAGATCAAGAGATGACTGTGAGAGTGAGAGAGAAGGGAGGGAGAATGAGAGATAGAGGGAGTGGGAGAGAAACTAAAAACCTATTTCCGGTATAGGTTTTTTATTGTGTCCAATATGGACTAAGAGTCCCACGTTGGCAACAATCACATAAGCCTCCGATGACATGGTAGGGGTTTTTATAATTTGAAATATAGATCCGGTTGTTAGAGTTTTGTTGGTTTTGGGACCAACCTCCAACCTAATTTTAAATGTATAACCGAATTTGACTATAATTTTCCCTTTAAATTATATATCTCATTTATATTATATAAAATACTTTTTACTTATCACACTTAATTTTTGTTTGTTTATGGTATCATTCGACTCAAACCACTAACCCACCATCTAAAARAAAATTGTTTGATTTCTAGGTTGACATTAAATTTTGTATTACATTTCCATCATTGATAAAATTATTTCTTATGTATAAAACCTATTTTTGTTCAATATAATGAATGCACAATATTAGAGATATGCCCAGTATTTTATTTTTTATAAATATATAACATTAGACATGTACCCAAAATTTTCTTTATTTTTTTTTTATTTTTGTGATTCTTTGTATTTTTTATTATTAAAATTTTTATTATTTGACTATGACATCATTTCATTTCTAGGTAGATTTTGAAATTGGCATTCCATTTTCATCAATAATAAAAATACTTCTTACATTTCATAGTTATTTATTTTAATTTTATATTATTTAATTATGACATTATTTATTAATCCATTTGACCCCAAATGGTCGAATTGCTTGCCAACCACTAGGAGGGAAGAAAATAGTTTCTTTCAAATTACTTTTCAAAATATTTATTTTTATACTCTTAAAATTAATATTGTGGATTTAATTACAAGAATTTAATGATGAGAAAAATATATCTTAAATATAGGATTTAATGAGAGAGAATAGGAAAATATTTTTATTTCCAATTGGTTTTAAATTTTACATTCCATTTCCATCGTTAATAAAAACCTTTCTTATTTATCATACTTATTATTGTTTAAAAATGTTTCCATTTTTTTAATTTCTATTTTTTTAATCTATGTTTTATTTTTTTTATTATTTAATCGTGGCAACATGGATTAACCCATTTGACCCAAAATGATTTAATTTCTTACCACTACCTAGATGAAAACACTATTTTTTGCTAGGTAGATTTTAAAAGTATAAGCTTTTATGTTATTATAATTATTAATTTATTAAGTATGGATTTAATTAATAGAACTTAATGATGAGGAGAAACAAAAATGACTTAAATATGTGATTCAATAAACATGAGTGTAAGTTAATAACTTAAATGTTGGATTTATTGAGAGAGAATTGAATGCATTGAATATCTTTAAATTACCTCTTTTCAACTCATTTAATATCAATAACCAATTGCCCTATTTGCTCTCATTTTTTATCAAAAAATTTAAATATAGAGGGGTAAATTTTGTCCTTATAAAATTTCAGAAATATTCTTGACGCCATTCACACTTTTTAAAATAGTATAGATATTATTATGTAATTATAATTTATATAATATATTATATATTATATATAAATAAAACCCCAGGCCTAGCACGACCCACACAATCGTGTCGGGCTTGGCACGTCCCGTATGCCGTCGTGCTAGGCCAGTTCAAAGTCAGGTCGGGCTGTGCTGGGCCATAGGCGGCACGACCCGATTTGTACCTCTACATCTCCTTAATGGCCATTTGGCATATATAGGCTATATGTGCCAACTTGGTAAACATTTACCATAATGAGATTGCATTTTTTCAAACATTTTCTTCTTTGAATGAGTTATATTTTATAATAAGGGTATTTTAATCTTTATCTTCAAAAAAAAAAAAGGAGGCTGACATTGAAGCAATGTTGACCTGACACCAAATCAGTCAATGTAATCTGGAATTCAGAATTCTAAATTGGATTGTCCGAACTTTTCCCTTTATCGACCATCGTGCATACACTAGGATGTATGGCTCTACATGTCAACAGTTCAATCGTTTTTTATTGACAATGGTAAGGAACTTAGGATCAATCCATCATAGTTTACTAATTTGTCTGAAAGTTTAATGGAATTGTCACTCTATTTATCATCTGTTTTAATCTAAGGGGGTGTTCATTTTCTAGATTTTGAGAGGGGGAAAGTTGGTCAATGGGATTTTGATTCCCATTGACCAAAAATCCCATGTTCTTTTTTCAGATTTATGTGAAAACCAGGGAAAATTTATTTTCCTGGGCACCGGGTAAGTAATACCCATCTCCTAGGTGGGTAAATAACTTTCCCACCTGAGGAAAAAATTGCCAACACATGAATGTGACAAAAATGCCCCTTTTAATAATGAATTTTTATGGATAAAATGATCATTGCCTTATTTACATGGAAAATAAAAGAATATGGATAAATGCACTTACCCGAGTAAGTCTTTCCTGGAAAACACTTACCCATATAAGTACAGTTACTTGGGTAAGTAATTTACCGAAAAGGGAACGAGGGAATTATTTTCCAATCATCTTGCCACATGATAGATTCTTCAGTTATTCCTACTACTTCTCCTTGAATGACTTGGTTACTTGGCATGCTCCAATATTATTCAAGAATTTCATTTAACTATTATCTCTTTTACAATAGGTTGCTATAAGTTTTGGCCAGCCGTTAGTTGGATTAGAACAGAATCTGGTAACATGCAAATGTACAAATAAGAACCTAACAATCATGTCTTTTTTGTTCCATCCTTGAAACTTGATTGATGACTAGAATGAAAACTTGATTGTTTCTCTGAGGAAGGGGCTTCCAAGCGAAAATACATGAAACTTATTATTACAGAGTTGATGAAAAAACAGCCAATGCACGTCAACGGAAATTGAACGAGCACAAATCAATGCAATACATTAAAAGAAATAAAAACACACACACACACCCAATTCAGGTCTAAAACAGCTAAGTTGAAGAAGGGGTCTCCATTATTTGGGCCTTCTGTTTGGGCGGGGTAGCTAAGAAAGCTCTGATAATGGGCTTAACCTTTTCTGCGGTCTTGATAATAGCCCAGAACATGAATCGGTACAAAACCACCATCCCGAACAAGATTGCAAGGTCCACCCACTTAGAGTAGCCCATCTCCACTTGCCACGTGTTCCTCAAAATTTCTTCTCCAGTGATGGTGGCTGGGCCTCCAGCTAGATTGTTAGGGAAGGTTAAACCTTCAAATTCGTTCTTGTAGAATCCTTGGTTGGCATACTTGTGGAAGGCAATATAATACATTGGGTATTTCCAGAAAGGCTTAGGAAGATCGTCAGGCAATCGGAAGAACCCACCATTCAACATCATCACCCCCTGAATTCCTGCTCCTGTAATAATACCCATGAGGAAATCTGGCACTACACTCGCAACGATCATCATCAGGCTCTCAACCAACATCATGCACACGAAAAGCACCAAACCAAAGTATACGAAGTGCTCGGCTCCCTTTTGGAGACCCACAAGGTAATAAGCAATTGCTCCTGGAATCAGAGAAGTGAGTAGCAGATAGGGAATTGAAGAAAACGAATTCCCGAGGACGAATGCACCCACTCCATAGTGTCCATTCAGTCTTTCTCGTGTGAATATCTGAATACGTACGTACAAATTAATAGAAAACCAAAAAAAAAAAAGTAATTCGCAGTTTCAAATTAATTAAAATTTCAATGCTTATTGCAGTTGCAGACTGATCAAATAAACAAAAATGATAAAAAAAAAGAGAGATCTATCGTAACTCTGAGGATTTTTAATTTAGGTTACCTTCATATCCTCAACGAATGATGGGAATCCACCAATAGCCATAAATGTCAAGAAGGCTGCAACGAACATAAGCATGGAGCCTCTAGCCTGAAAGTTGTACAAAATATATATATATATACGAGTCAGTTAGCTTCTTTGTTTTCAGCCATAGTAGAGAAGGAATTAAATCTCTCGATCTAAGTTCGCCATCTTACCTGAATGGAACCGAAGCTGGAACCTATGTCGAAATAGATAGTGCCCACACAGAGACAGAGAGAGATATAGATTGCCAATCGTAACCAGTAGTAACCTAGATCACGATACATGTTTACAAAAGATCGTCTTGTCAGCACAAAGGACTGTGTGAGGAAGCTAGCTTGACTTCCCTTCTTCTCTAAAGGCGCACCTTCCTGAAAAATTAATGAAGAAAGCAGGTCTTAACTTAAGAGTTGATCATCGATCTTAAGTTTGAGATGGCAACATTTGGAGATGATTCGAGCCGCGAGTAAATCCATACCCTTTTGCATATTTCAGCTACCCGTCTCTGAACTTGCTGACAAGTTTCAGATGACTTATACGACTGTGCAAGAACGTTAATCACTTCGTCTGTGGTTGTAGTCTGGCCATTAAAGCCCTGTTCGACGTCCTGTTGACAACAATCAAGAATCACATCTTAAGTTAAAAAGAGAACGTTGTTAAATAGAAAATTGAGTCTTTAATAAGAGTACTTGTAGTAGAGGAGTTCTCTTACCGTATCAAAATCCTTGTTAATCGTCCTAAGGTAGTGGTCTGATGGGTTCCTCCGACTTGGGCATGGAAAACCATTTGAAGAAAAGAACTAGGTACGTACAATAATAAATTGAAAACGGGAGCTGTTAATTAGGGATATTCCATTTTTGTTTCATCATATCAAAAAGAATTAAAACAAATGAATGGAGAAAAGTAAGTAATACCTGGCTTGCTGCTGAAGCGGGTCCAAAATAGACAGTTTTACCAGCAGAAAGAAGACAGAGATTGTGGAAGAGCTCAAAGACTTCACTGCTGGGCTGATGGATGGAAGCAACAACAGTCCTTCCGTCCTGCTGAGCGAGGCCTACAATGCGGTTCATGACATGGTAGGATGCTGCACTGTCGAGACCGCTGGTGGGTTCGTCCAAGAAAAGAAGCTTGGGGCGGGTCAAAATCTCTATGCAAATGCTGACCCTCCGCTTTTGGCCACCACTAAGTCCTTTGTGACCCCATCCTCCGATTCTAGTGTTCATAGCATCCTGCAATCCCATCTCTCTTATAGTCATCTCTGCCCTTTCCCTCTTTTCGGATAACGGCATGGAGTCCGGCAGTTGGAGCTGAGCGGAATAGTAAACGGCTTCTCTAACCGTTAGTGTCATCATTAGAGTATCATCTTGGGTCACATAAGCCTACATTACAAAACCAATTGTTCAGTTCAGTTCAGTACTGCTTCGGATCGATCTGATGGTGTGCCTCCACCCTCCACCCTCCACCTTCCATTAATATTAGATGTATAGTGTGGATGATAATTAATTAATTAGGGGATATATCCCGTCACCAAGGATGTAGCTAGGATGCTTTTCTTACCGACGTCCCAAATGCTAGTGCTTGTCTTCGCCCGTTAACAAGAATATCTCCACATTGCCTTGTGTTTGATCCCAATCGCCCTGTACGCAATTTGGAGTTGGGTTTATTAGAATTAATTTCTTGGATGGGTTCAATCCTAAATACGGTCAAACAAAAGGACCTTTTGACTCCTTTGTAGGTGGTCAAAAGGTTACGTAAAATATATATATTATATAAAATTGTGAATGCAGTACAAAATTTTTTTGGACTAAATATTGCTCTTTTTTTTCTTGTTTGAAAAAGAGTATAAAAGTCATTTTAGTATAGCTTTATTAGCCATATTTGTGTATTTAATCTACCTCCAATAATTGTAAGGTTTGAAAATGTAACTTCGATTATTAATTTCCAGCTCATTTAATCCCCTCTCATTAAGTCTTATACTTAAGGTATTAAATCCCATTTTTTCTTATTAAATCCTATATTTTTAAGTTATTTTTCACTAATAAATGCTACTAATTAGATCTATGTCAATATTTTAACAATATAAGCCCGTAATTTTAAAATTGACTAAAAAACAATTTCATTCTTTATCCAAGTGGTGGCTAAACAATTCAACAATCCAAATCAAATTGATCAACCTATGAAATTATAGCTACGTAATTAAAATTTTAAAATATAAATAAATATAAAAAATTACAAAAAATTAGACACATTTATGATATTGTTATTAATTAAATTAAAAAAATAAGTGTAATAAACAAAACTATTTTTATTGAAAATGAAAATGAACTACATAATTTAGAATTGGCCAAAAATGAAATATAAAAACTAATAGTAAATAGTTCCACTTTTGGGTTAAATGTGTTAATATTTAATTCCATAAATAAATAAATAATAAATTTTAAAAATACAAAATAAGAAAATACATAAATTTTGAAAAAAAAAGCATTAACGCACATGCATAATAACATGTATTTATCATATTGAACAAAAAGTAAGTGTGACATATCAGAATTATTTTTACACACAAAAATACAAAAAAAAATATAGAAAAAAATTGAACACATCTATAATTTTATATTTACACTACTATTAAAAATATGAATAATATGGAACTTTCTTCTAACAAAAATCAAGGTTTTAAAAACTGACCTAAAAACATAACCACTTTGGCTTTCGACTTATGGGACAGCGGTTCAACCGTCCAGTTTGAGCGGGTCAAAGTCCAACATATATATACATTATTATGAGAGGGGAGTGTGAGACTTTGAAAAAGAGGCGGCTCTTTAAAGCTGAGAATTGAGAAAAAAGAAAGAGAGTAAGATGATGATGGAGAAGAAGAAGAGAAGGAAGCATCGTGGAAGGTGGTTGTCACCATTTTCACTGGTCATTGTTGTAGAACATTTGCCCTGAGAAGAAAAATAAGAAGAAGAGAAAAAAACATCACTGGAGGTGGTTGTCACCATGTTCACTGATCGTTGTTGCATAACCATTTGCCTTGAGAAGAAGAAGAAAAAGGAACTACCATCGGCGGCTATCTCCATGTTCATCACCATTGCCGCTACAACACCGTTTTGCCTCTTCTTACATCTCTTTAAATCTCTCTCAAATCTTAAATCATTTATTTCGTTGGTGTATCTCAAATTTTAATATAAGATCGGCATTTAATTTCTCATCTCTTGCATTGATTTTTTGATTTCTCCATTGGAGTTGTAATTTTTTTATTGTTATAAATTAAAAAGAATCAAAGAAATGAAAAAATTGAAAATCAAAATGGAAAATCTAAAAAGTCTAATTAATTTTGACCATTGGGAATAATCAAACAAGATTATGATATATGAAATTTTTTTCAAATTTTTAATTTCTATTTTAAAATAAATAACAAATTTAGAATTATTTTGAAAGCAACCCGAGAACCATTGACTAGGTTGAACATTTTAATGGTTAAACTGATCGGGTCTAACCATTTCAACAATTTTTTGTAAAATAACGATCCTGGGCCAAAACATAACTAGTTACCTAACTAGTTCAGGGGCCAAATGGTTCGACTGTCCATTCTGGTCGATTTTTTAATACAAGTAGGCCAGAATTCGAATCAAATCACACCAAGTTCGAATTCGAATTCGATTGTAAAAGTGATGATTCGAATTCGATTAAATATTAGGCGGATGTGAAGAGTTAACAACTGAATTCAAATTCGACTGGTTAATCGAATATTCGAATTCGATTCGTTATTCGAATCAACATAAAAAACTCTAAGTCTTGAAGTGTAACAACGAGGCTCTGTTCACCATAAACAAACAACTCAGGCAAACGAAAAAAGACAGAAAACAAAACACCTAAAAAACTAAGTGAAACGAAGAACAACAAATGAAAAAAAACAAAAGAAAACAAAACACTTAGAAAATCTAAAGCAAGCAACTAAGTCTGTAGTCATAATAACAAATTCCTTTATCGTAGAGAGAGAAAGAGAAAAGAGAAAAAGAACAGAGGGAGAATAAAGAGAGAGCAAGAGAGGTAGAAAGAGAGGATCGTTCATCAAAAGAGAAACAAAGGAAAAAAACATTAGAAAGATGCGGAGAACTTGAAAACCCCAAACATTCAGCTGATTTTTCTCCAACAATGCCTCCACCTTCATACCATGGAGAGACGGAGGCGAATGGCGAATGGGGGAGAAGCGAGGCAAATGAGATGGAATAGCAGAGATGGGGGGAGATGAGATGAACAGTACACTAATGGTAAATAAAAAAGTAAACTGAGTGGTCTTGTCACTCAGAAGATAATTGAGTGTTTTGTAAGAGATATGTCGGTAGGCTATTGGTAAATCGAAAATGAATAGTACGCGAACTATAAAAACCCTGTATCTTGTAAGAGATATGTCAGATCACAAAGCATTTAAAGGGGATGATAAAAATATATTATATAATATTATATTTATATTTATAATATAATAGAATTCGAATATTTATCAATCGAATCAACTTAAATTCGAATTCGACTGTTTATACTATTCGAATCATCCGAATTCGATTCGATTACATCGAATCTCGGATTTGAAATCGGTTTTTCGGATATCATTGACACCCTTAAATAATCGGATATCATTGACACCCTTAAATGCAACGATTAAAATATTCATTTTTAAATTTAGTTCATATTTAATTGTAAGGTTTTAACTGTAAATTTAATTATTATTTTTCATTTCATTCAATTGTATCTATTTAAATCTTACTTTTTTTTTTGATAAATGAACAAAAAAAAATAAAGATACACAAAAAAAAAATAAAGCACTATAAAAAGAGGAATTTAGCCAAGCAAGTAGGCCCTCAAAGATAATTGAAATTCTACAATTTGATCTATTTATCACATATTTAGATGATGTGTTTATGTAGTCAGATTTGGATTGTTTGTCTATAATATATCGACAAAAATAAGTTTAAAAGAGTCTGGTTTGTTTGTCCATGATGAATCCAAAATATGGCCAATCAAGACTTAATTAGACCTTAATGTCTGGTTTGTTACTTTTGTTTTTTTCTCTAATATAATACTCATCTTGCTTTATATACTAAAAAAAAAATTAGATTTTACAATTTGCATCTAATTAATAATAGAAAACAAAAAATAAACAATACATAAAATTAATGAAAAAATTGAATATATTATTATTTTAATTATCATCATCTAGATTCTAGATACGTGATTACTTGGCTAGTATATTTAAAAAAGTGAAAGTTCGTTTCAAATCCAAACTCGAAAGAATTATAGCAGAGGAAAGAACAGGTTGGGCTATTAATTGGAATGTGCATTAATTATTACCGGCCAGAGTATCAAGTAAGGTTGACTTGCCGCAACCGGAAGGACCCATGATGGCCAAGACCTCGCCGGGCTGGGCGTAACCGGTGAGATCCTGCAGGATGGCTCGCGTTCCGCTTTTTCCATTGGAAACCGTCACGTATAGATCTTTCCATGTCAAGTAGATGCCGTCCGCTCGGTACTCAGAAGTTACTGGGTGGCGAGCACCATATATACCCGCATGTAGTCCATGGTTGGTCAACAACTGAACCTCCCTCACGTCGGAATTATGTCGCGCAATTTCAGTGTCAGTTGTCAAGGCTTTAGGATGAGGGTCCTCCATTGGGTTGGGAAATGAGGAGGAAGGAGGAGGAGAAGAGTAAACGCTGAAAGGGAAAGTCCTTTCCATGCCATGGTGGGACATAGAATCTTCTTCCGAGGAGAGAATGCTTCCCGTCTCCGTCTCGTCATCTCTTACCTGTGGAACGGGCTGGTGGTGAGGTAGAGGTACCCTTGTTGGGCTTGCATTTGGAGTCCACCTAGGGACGTTAATTGGAGAAGACATCCTTTCAGGTTCAGCTTTAGCTTTAGCTAGCTCAAAACCTGCTTGCTCTGAAACAAGGCTGACAGACAGATGAACAGAGAGAGAGAGATAGATGAAGCTAAGCTTATGCCTTTTGCATGCGTTATACTGCCTTGATTTGATGGAATTGCCTGCAATAGTCCATGGTTATTTATAATAGGGTATGAAGCTTGATCAAAGTCCACGACTCCACGTCGCCAACGCGGCCTTCAATTCCTCGCAGATTCGCAGTATCAACTATCAAATCAGTAACTAGTGATAGGCACGTGCCACTCGGTGCACGCGTTGCCTTTTAAATTTGAAAGTTGCCTTGGTGGCTTGGTGCGGCTGGGCCTGAAGAGAACCAATGTCCCCTGTCCTGTTTTGGTCCGGTCCAACTCAAGGATTCTTAGTTTCGATCGTTTCGGGCCCTTGATCCATAATGAAATATCTTTTTGAAATTTTGGAAGGTTGGATACACTTTTTTTTCCTGAATTATAAACATTTTACTATATATATGAATATTTATTTTGTACTACGAATTATTTTATTATTATATCCAAAAGTTCATTTTATTTAAATACAATAGGAATTTCGTGAAATTTAACTTTATATGTTAGAACTGTTTTTGGAAGCAGTAATCCCATCATGGTTGGACTCTCACTCATGTGCCAGTTAAGAAATAGGAAATACTAGTTCAGTAAATGATCAACCTGCCCCATGTTTGGACAGGGTGGGTATGGTTTTCAAAATCAGACTGGACCGGACAGTCGGACTAAAAAAACTAGGAATCGGTCAAGTAATTAGTTTCGATTTTTCCCAAAATTAAAAATTTGTTCGAAACTATTGATTTTGATCAATAAATCGTTGATTAAGGCAGTTAACCGTTTGATCGGTTTAACCATTTTTTATTTTTTTTTATCATTTCAAACGGCCAATCCATTTAACCCAGTAATCAGACCCATGATCGGTTAGGTCATTTTTAAAAACCATGAGTGCAATTCAGACCTGGACGAGGTTTGGACTTTGGAGCAATCCTACCATACATAGATACTTGCATATACAGCTCACATCACAGGATGAGTGAATAAACAGCTGTCGGGATTTGATTGGAGGATACAGCCCAATCCACAGCTCTTGATATAATAAAAGTATTCATTTTCATAGGAACCAATCATCATATGATGCCCCTTGTTCTGAGTTTTTTTTTTAAATGGTAATTTAGTATAAACGAATCAATCAACTCCCCCCTTTCACACGCATCTTTGAAGGTGTGAACCTCTCCCCCGCCAGTCAAAGCAAATTTGTGGCAAAAACACGAAAGCTGTGGGATCATACCGGAAGTGAGAAGCAAATAAATAATATATACTATGGTGGTGTCATTTGACCGGCCGTTTTTATTGTCCTATATTATTTATGTGATTGTCAAATTGTAAATTTAAACTTGGGTGACATCAGGCATGATGAAATGAGATTGATATTCAAATTAAATTATAAAGGGTTTTGACTTCACAATTCAAGTTGTCATAAGACAGTCTGGTCTTCTCTCTATTTAGTATCTACCATCTGCAACAACAGAGAGAGGTCAAAAGCAAAAGCAAATATAGGGCGAAGGGAATGCATGGAATTCGGATTTCATACCTCCGGCCAGTCCACCGTATTAGAATAAGTAGTCCCCGTGTGGTTCACAAGGGAGTTATTCAGGCACAATCTTTATTTTTAGGGTTAATTATAAAAACCGGATCCTCCAGAGTACTTTGTTTTGCGACAAAGACCCCCGTACTATGAGCGTCAGATAATAATTCCTTCTACTTCAGATTTCTTTTCATTTCTTTYTCTCTCTCCCCGGATCGCTCTTCTTCCCCTTCCCCTTTCTCTCCCCTCTTCTTTCCGCTTTCCTCTGTTCTGTCTGTAACTTCACGACAACCAAGGTAGTGATAAGACAAAGATTAAAGGAAAAGAATGGTCACTCGCCACTAACCAGTAACCCCCCTTTACTGTGTTTCCTTTTCTTCTTCCCTCTTTCTCGTGCTTTACTTAATTGGGTTTTTACCAGAGTGGTTATAGGATCCTGGGTGGTCGTGCACGGCCTTTGGCATATGTGGGCTGTGGTCTCTCTCCTTGGAAAGCAGTCCAGAGGCCTATATATTACCATTGACTGACTTGAACGTGAGCAACTGAGCATCAGAAAATACCCATTTCATTTACGGCTCTCTGAACTCTGTAGTGAGTGTTTTGAGCTTCTTGGGAGCACCAATGGCGGTTTTGGTGGTGGTTTTGGGGCTCTGTATTTGCACTGCTCTATTGAGATGGAATGAGGTGAGATACAGGAAGAAGGGGCTGCCTCTGGGGACAATGGGGTGGCCTGTGGTTGGAGAGACTACAGAGTTTTTGAAGCAAGGGCCAAGCTTCATGAGAAACCAGAGAGCAAGGTCTGTTTTCCCTGGTTTTTGTTATGGCTGGTGTTTCTTCTTTTCTTCTTCTCTCGGTGCTAATTACCCATTTTAATGCATTTATGAAATATTGACTCATTGACGACCATGTCTTTCCTGCTCTTTTTTGTTCTTTCTCCTTATCTGGCTTGTTTTGATGGTTAAGATCACCAGTTTTTCCCTGTTTAAGGGATGGTTTCTTCTTTTTCTCATTTCTGGCCATATTGGTTTAGATGCATTGGTGCTTACCATTACAAAAACGTATATCCTGTTTAAGCTATTTTTAGCTCTCTTTCCAAGTTAGTTTACATGCAAAAAGGGAACCTCCTTTTTACTGATATAAGTTGGTCTTCCTGCTTTCTAGTCTAGCAAACTTCCCACGAATAGAATACCGTTAATGATATATAGCTCTTGGTTCTTCCAAGAAGGTGGTTTATTTCTTGATTAAAAAAAAGGCTGTGAAGATTTTAAGCATGAAAAAGCTTTTATGTCTTGGGTTTTCTTTCTATGAAACAGTTTTAATCTTCGGTCTTCTTGCTGATTTAGATTTGAATTACCATTGTAAGTCACTTATCATTCTTACAACTTCCCTCTGTAATTCTACGTCTTCATCAATATGTGAAAGTTTTCCTTCCCATTATCCACAAAACAGGTATGGAAGCTTATTTAAATCACACATATTGGGCTGCCCTAGGATAGTTTCCAGGGATCCAGAGCTCAACAGGTATATACTGTTGAACGAAGGAAAAGGTCTTATTCCCGGTTACCCCCGGTCCATGTTGGATATTCTGGGGAAATGCAACATTGCTGCTGTTCATGGTCCACTATGAGAAGAGCCCTGCCTAGCCTCATAAGCCCTGTCATGATCAAAGAGCAGCTTCTTCCAAAGATTGATAAGTTTATGAGATCCCACCTCGGTAACTGGGATGGAAAAAGTATCTATATCCAAGAGAAAACGAAAGAGGTTAGTTGAATCTTCAGAACCCAAAACAACTCTGACCCAGAAAGGAACTGATGGAGGAAGATTTGACCCGACCCCTAGCCCCCTCGAGGAACCTACAACCTGAGCTTCGAGCTAAAGAGTCCCGAGCTCTCCCTTCGAGGTCCTGAGCCTTACAAGGAGCGCAAAAGGCAGAAAACCCGAACTACCCACCTGGGGGCAGTTCGGGTCATACTCCTATCCAAACTCAAGACTTCACCTCGCACACCACTTCGGCTCCAAATCGCCTGACTGAACAACCGTACCTGACGCCTAGGAGACCGTACACGGAGGCGGCGCACCTGACTGATTAGAGGATTGACACATGACAGCCACCATCCAACGGCCACCTGCCACCGCCATCCCAGAAGGATAGAGGCGGCCCTGGCAACTGGCAGTGGAGGTTATGACACCCGAACTGGCAGTTGGCAGAAAGAAGTGACCCGATCTGGCAGAGGTTATGACACCCAAACTGGCAATTGGCAGAGGGAAGTGACCCGATCTGGCAGAGGCATGGAAGTGAGCGGACAGGGTGATTATAAAAGGCCCCCATCTCACAAGGAAGAGGGTATGTGATTCTTGTGTTTTTTGGTCTTGGAATTCCTCATTTCCCTTGCCTGCTGAAGAACACTAATTTGAGCTTTGGAGTGTTCCAACAGGGTTCCTCCCCGGAAGTCTCCATTTTTTTCCTTATTTCAGGCACTCCCGATCTCGTCAGAAACGAGATTCCTCCCCGGATTGCGCACCATCATTTGGCGCTGTTTGTGGGAAAGTTTCAAAAAGCCTTCCCTAACCTTTAACTCTCTCTCTCTCTCTCAAAAAAAAAAAAAACCTTAGCTTCCATGGCTTCTCCCAACAGAAGCAGGCACAACGCCGACTTAAACATTGTAGGGGAACACCCCCAGCCCGCTATTGTGTGCATAGGACAGTTCACCGTCCCCCTATCGACGGATGAAATCCCTAGCCTCAACGCACCAAACATGGTGGCACCCATGAATGTTCCCCTCCCTCTCCCTGTCGAGACAACCTTTGCCGAACCAACTGTTGTCCCCCTGGCGACTAGCCAAAACCAATTTGATGACTTGATGCAGTGCATGTGGGCAATGTAAGCCCAAATGCAGCAGTTCCAGCAACCTCAGCTCCATCAGCATCAAGTACTGCACCACATCTCTCAGTATAACTATCAACAACAGTTCCCCCAACTGCCTCTGAACCAACCACAGCTTCCACCCCGGCACCCCGCTCCGAGGCCAGTCAAGCCCTCCCCTTAGGGCGGGCGCCTTCACCAAGGAGAAGCCTCCCAACTTCAGAACCCCTCCAAGAGCCAGTCCTCATCCCCGGGCAGGTGGGAAAGACTAGTCACCCTCGCCTCGCAGCTCGTCGGCGGATCGAGAACCTCGCCAGCCAAGTCAGCACCTTGGCACTCCAAATTTGAGCTTCCGCTCAAGTCAGCGGACTACCAACAGTCCGGGCTCATCGTGCTTGGCACTACCGAAGCCAGCAGCGCCAATACCAGGCCCTCTAAGCAGCAACGAAGTCGCCGAACTTCCACCCTTATCTTGCCCGAGCTCCGAGGTAAAGAAGAGACAAACTCGGACGAGGTAAAAGCTTCCCCTATTCTCTCAGTCCTTTCCCCCCTCTCATCAGAGCTCTTTGCAGTCCCCATGCCTAGAGATTTCAAACTCCCCTCTCTAGACAAGTATGATGGGTCCTTTGACCCCAACGACCACGTCGATGCCTTCCAGTCCCAAATGCACCTGGCAAAGGCYAGCGAGTCCTACATGTGTGTGGCCTTCACTACCATCTTCAGGGGGTGGCCCGCACCTGGTACAGGAACTTGGCCCCCGGGTCAATAAGAAGCTGGACCCAGTTCGTGCAGGTCTTCACCGCGCACTTTGTTACCAGCAAATGGTGCCCTCGAACCAAGGAGAGCATCTTCGGAGTAGTCCAGAGAGAAGGAGAGTCCATCCGGGGCTACATCAAGCGGTTCAATGATGCATGCTTGCAGATACCGCGCCTAGACCTCGCGGTGCAGCTCGCAGCAGCCAAGAGAGGAGTGACACACAAGGAGTTCAAGTGGCACATGGTAGTTAACCAGCCCGCGACCGTGCCTGAATTCCTCAAGCTCGCAGACAAATTCATGAGAACAGAGGAGGAGATTAACTAGAGGATTGAAAGCGGGATCGAGAAAAGAAAGAGGGAAGGCGAGCCCTCCAACCCAGATGACCGAAGAAGGAAAGACCTAGCTCGAGAGACGAAGCGAAGCCAGCCGTTCCGAGCTCCCTTAGCAGCTCGGACGGACTACACACCCTTAAACATGAAGCGGGCTGAGATCTTAATGACGATCAAAGACGGTATGTGAAGTGGCCACCTCGTCTGAAGGGAAACCCGAACGAGAGGAATAAAAACTTATACTGCAGTTTCCATAGGGATCACGGTCATAGCACTGAACATTGTCATAACCTCCGCGACGAGATAAAGGAACTTATCCGTCGCGGATATCTGCGAAATTTTGTACAGCACAATAATAATAATAACAGTAATAAGTTAGGTCGGCACGGAGAGCACAACTAAGACGCTCCCGAGTCCAGCAGCCGGCCAACAAAACCACAAAAGCAGCCCCCGGATGAAAGACCAGTTCGGGGAACAATCCACATGATCGTTGGAGGATCAATCGTGGCAAAGTGCACCTCGGCAGCAGCTCGCGCGTCAACCCGGGAGGCCGACAGAGAAGAACAAAATCCCCCAAAGCGACCTAGGACGGAAGACTCCATATTCTTCATCGAGGAGGCCGACGGGTACTCCATATTCTTCGCGCGTCAACCCGGGAGGCCGACGGGTACTCATTGACTCCGGCAGTTCGGCAGACATCCTCTTTAAAGCGGCCTTCGACAAGCTCTAGTTCCGAGAGAGTGACTTGAAGCCCGCGAACACCTCGATGGTCGGCTTCAACGGAGAAGAGGTCAGACTTGTGAGAAAAGTTACAGTACCAGTGGAAGTCGACACGTGGCCTAGCACGGTAAGACTTAGTCACGATTTCTTGGTGGTCGCGACCCCCTCCCCCTATAATGCCATAGTAAGTCGGCCGATCACCCACGCTTTAAAAGCTGTGGTGTCCACTTACTATTTGGCCATGAAGTTCCCAACGGACTTCGACATCGGGGTTGTGTGGGGCGACCATCTCGAGTCCCGCAAGTGCTATGTTGCCGCCCTCAAGGGAAAGGCCAAGGTAACCAACGACCTTGAACTGGAGCGACCTACGGAACAGAACGAGGAGCGAGCTGCACCAACAGAGGAAACTGTTCCCATCTCTGTCTCAGCAGAGGACCCTGCCAGATTACTTCAGGTCGGAGCATCCCTTGAAGAACCCCTGCGATCCGAACTGGTACGCTTATTACTCAGTAACTTAGATGTTTTCGCTTGGTCTGCGGCAGAAATGCCCGGCATAGACCCTATGCTTATAACTCACAAGCTCAATACTGACCCTGTAGTCAGACCCTTTAGACAGAAGAAACGCAACTTTGCCCCAGAACGCTGGAGGGCGGTCGATGAGGAGGTCGAGAAGCTCCTCGCAGCAGACTTCATAAGGGAAGCTCATTACCCGAGCTGGCGACTACATCGCAGCAGACTTCATAAGGGAAGCTCATTACCCGAGTTGGCGACTACATCATAAGAGAAGCTCCTCGCAGCAGACTTCATAAGGCAAACAGCAAGTGGCGCATGTGCGTCGACTACATCGACCTGAACCGAGCTTGCCCAAAAGATTGCTTCCCCCTCCCCAGGATCGACCGTCTAGTGGACGCGACCTCGAGACACGAGTTGCTAAGCTTCTTGGACGCCTACTCGGGCTACAACCAAATCAGGATGGACCCGTCCGACGATGAAAAAACCACCTTCATAACCGAGTTTGGCCTGTACTGCCACAAGGTTATGCCCTTCGGATTGAAAAATGCTGGGGCGACCTTCCAAAGGCTCGTGAATAAGCTGTTTCAGCCCTTAATTGGCACGAAGATAGAATGTT